CACCGATTCGTATGAAACAACTACCATTCGATTCCTTGCGACTTGGCGGATCCAATGAGCTAACATTCATTGATTTTAGATCATCCAATCGCGAGATAATCGCAATTATATTATTGGCTAAAATTATGAATCTATAAATTCTACTTTAAATAAAGGAGTCTGGATTTCGAAATACAATCGCGAATTTCTTGAGATGGGCTGATCCAAAATCAATGAATGTTAGCTCATTGGATTTGTCTAGTCGTGGGGAATTGAATGGTAGTTGTTTCATATAATACGAATCGGTGCAATATTGACCGATATCGTACATTTTTTGTTTATTGTTTTTTCTATATATAAAAATCATGTGATATAACGTAATTTCGACCATTTCGACTTTTAATTTCGACTTTGACCTCCAAAGTTGAAACATTTTGACTTTTGGGTTTTCATTTCGACTTCATGTATATCTATGACATGTCTTTCTCTATTAAGAAGTGAATCATACATTTTCGTCTGATTATCACGAAAGTATTACACCGTTATTCTAAAGCTTTTTTGATAGCTTAAGCTTTATGATCTTCTTCTTTGGACTTAGCTAAAACAGTCAAGCTAGAGATAAGTACTTTAATTTGAGGAATAATAGATTGGATGGTAGAGAGTGATAATTTCTGACTAGTGACCGGTGGAAGAGTAATAGCAAATTGTGCTGAGAAACCAGATGTTTTTTCATACAAGAAGGTCCAGGTTGGCGAAATAATTACAGAATGTAAAGCTTTTTTTGAAAGTTTTTCAAGTTTTTGAATGGTTAATAATTGCTGGTAAACTTTTTTAAGTATTTTAGGCCTCAGGTCACATGCATGTTGTGAAGAGTGGTGAACAGGAATAAATTTCTTTGCTGCTTTTATAATATAACCTTGGATTAAATCCCAGTAAAAATTTAAGGCGTGTTTGGATTTTAGCTTGGTTTTATCCAAGTTAGTGAGTTGACGGGAAGATAGTAGCACATCTGTTTTGTTAGCAAAATTTGTCTAATCCTCGTGAGACATCTTGTCATAATGAAAGGATATCTTCTTAGCTGAAGCTTTGTTAGACTGAGGTACTAATTCCGAAATATAAAAGGAGATCGTTGCAATATTGTGATCTGTAAAGTCTTCATCAACATCAATTACCGTAGTTGTATATATATCTATCACCAATCTATCTGAACAATAAATGTGGTCAATCCTAGATGGGGTAAGGCATATTTTGTTGTTAA